AAAAATTTTAAAAATCTAAAAATTAAAACGAAAAATTGAAAAATATTGAAAAAAAATCCAATACTGTAATCGATTAATCGCGAAGATGAAAACTTAGAATCGCCAAAAATTGAAAAATCGAAAAATTGAAGAACTGAAAACTTGAAAAATCCCGAACCGGAAATATAGGAAAATTGAGGAAACGAAAATTGATAAAATGGAAAAATCGAAAAATCAGGAAATCGAAACAACAAAAAATCGAAAAATATTGAAATATACCAAAACTGATATTAAAACATTGATAAATCGATAAATCGAAAAATCGGAAAACTGAAACATCGAAGAAAAATTGAAGAATCGCAATAAACATTAACTTTAATTATAGAAAATGCTTAACAAAAAAAAAAGAGAAAACAAAAAACACAATAATAGACGATAATAAAATACAAGGTGTTGTAATTGAAAAAATTGAAATAATTTAGGTTTAAGGTCCTTCTGTTTCTAATAATTAAGATATGGAGGAGGCGTAGACTTGTAAATTCTGATTTTTTTTGCAATTATTGTGAAAAAGGACAATGTTCTAACAATTCCCTATCAAGATCTAAACAATAAAAATTAGTGAACACAAAACCAAGATTGTGGCAATAGACAAATTGTAAAAGGTAGAAACGCTGATCTAAAACGAGAAACTAGAACTAAAATGCATAAATTTATTTTTACGAATATTCGCGGAACTTTACGTCGTTGTTTTGTTCGCTCTACAAACAACACTCTTAATGGGTTTGAACAGTGTAGATTTATTCACTCCGTACGTCAAGCGTTTTGATTTTCTTCTCGGCATCTGCGTGTTATTTATTCGCAGCTTTCAATAAGTCTTGTTAAGCCCATCGCCGTAATTCCCATTTGCAACATTGTGGTCGTGCACGCGGCTATTTTACCAGTCGACTTAGCCGTAATTTATGCTGAAAACTCCTCTTCCTTTCAGGTCAGATAAGCTCGACCATCAACCGGTTTTTCATCCACTCGACTCGCTTTCAACCCAGAAAATCGCCCAAACCGAGCAATTAAAGCCGCCGATTTCGCAACAATGCCCGATCGTGATCGGTCCCGAAATTCCTCCGGTTTACGCATGCAGAAGAACTTTCTACCGATTTTATCACTTTACGAACTCACAAACTAATCGATTAATTAATAAATAACGAACGGTACTTTCGCTACCGATGGCCGAGGAGGAAAAACGTGAACTTTTAGACCTCTTGATCTGTGACAAAACGTTTTGAGCGGATAATCTCGACTTGCTACACTTTCTAAATAATTACGTGTTGACATGTCGTCAAAAATTACCTATTTGCGACCGTTTAGCGAAAGTCGCTATTATTCGAGAAAAAATACGGACGTCGGCCGACAAAAAAGGGTCCGGATTTCGACCCGAATATTTCAGATAATGGTAAAAACGAAATCGCGACTCCTTTTGTCTGGGGGACAATGCAGACGACAGTCTACTTCCCATGGCGTATTAAGTAATTCACTTTTCATATTCCCAGCGGGATGAATGGACATGTTAGCATAAATGATATCGTAAAAATTTCGTGTTGTTGGAGATAAATGGAAGAATGCGGGAGTGAGGCAATCGGACGAGGAATTTTGCTCTTTACGCATCTTGATAAATGGTGAAACTTTTCGGCGCAACGTTGCCATTGCAGGAGTCGGATTGAGGATAACGGCGCAAAAAATGCCGCAGGTTTTATCGGAACGGATCGGACGGTGGTTCTACGCAACGAGAAAGTTAACTCCAAAATTGTGTAACGGCGTTAGTTTGCAAAAGTGAGAGATTATTCGATTCTTGTCGATCCACACCATGCTCCAGAATCAATGGAAGTGTTATAAGTTATAAGTAACATGAAGTATATTTAAAGCAGATACCCAACGGGGAAAATCCAAAGATCGAATAATAATCGAAACTAAAAAAAAAATTTAAATATCTACAATTTAAAAAAATAGACGAATTGAAAAATTTGGAAATTGAAAAATGCTCAAAACTGAAATCTCGAAAAATTGGAAGATCGATAAATCGAGATAACATAAAATCGAAAATTCGGGAAATTAAAAAAATCGAAACATCGAAATCTCTATAAATCCAGAAATCGTAAACTTGAAAGCTCGATAAATCGAAAAGCTGAAAAGTTGAAAAATCGAAACATCTACAAATTGAAACATCAAGAAATCAAAACATCAAAAAAAGATCGAGAAATTGGGAAATCGAAAGGAAGAAAAGTCGAAAAACCGAAAAATCGAGAAATCAAAATAGCATAAAAATAAATAAATTACGGAAAAATTAAAAATTTAAGATTAAAAAAAGGATAAATCGAAAAATGAGAAAATTTAAAAATTGAGAACTTAAAAGTAGAAAAATTTTAGAACAAAAAAATTGAAAAATCGGAAATTCAATTATTTTAAAAATCGAAAATTTGAAAAATTGAAAAATTTTAAACCGAGAAGTCGATAAATCGAAAGAGAAAAATGGGAACATCGAGAATTGAAAATGAAAATGCGGAAAAATTGAACAATCGAAAAATTTTAAAACAAAGCTCAGTAATCGAAGAATTGAGGTCAAAAATCTAGAAATGGGAAAATTAAAAAATCGAAAATTTTAAAAATTAATTAACTTGAATAAACTGAAAATTTAAAAACACCTAAAATTGATTAATTGAAAAATCGAAAAATTGAAGAACCGAAAGCTTGAAAAAGCGCAATCGAAAATATCGTAAAATTGAGAAATCGAAAAATGAAAAAACGCAAATTAACAAAATCGAAAAATTAAAAAATTGAGAAACAGAAACATCAAGAAACCGAAAATTTGAGAAACTACAAATTGAAAATTCGAAAAATCGAAAAATTTAAGAATCTAAAATTTAAAAAATGGAAAATTAAAATACCAAAAATTGAAGAATCGAAAAATTGAAAAATCGAGAATTCGCAACATCAGTAAATCGAAAAACTGAAAACTCGAGAAGCTAAAAAATAATAAAAAATCCAAAAATAGAAACGGAAAATCGAAGAATGTTGGAAAATTCGAAAACTGACAAATTTAAGAGAAACTGATTCCAAAAATTGTGAGACTGCGAAGACAGAAACTCGAAAAAGCGAAAACTTTAAAAATCGCAAAATTGGAAAAACAGAAACCTGAATAATCAAAAAACTGAAAAATTGAAAAACTGAAAAATCGAGAAATCGAGAGGTCGAAGAATCGAGAAATGGAAAAATTAAAAAATCAAAAAATCTAACAGTGGAAAACTCAAAAAATCGAGGAACAAATTTAGGATCGCCAAAAATTAAAAAATTGGAAAACCGAAAAATTAAAGAACCGAAAAATTGAAGAAATGGAAAAATAAAAAATCGAAAATAAACAAAATGGGAAAAATTGAAAAATCAGAAAATCGAAACATCAAAAAATTGAAAAACTGAAACATCGAAACGAAAAATTAAAAAATTTAAGAATCGAAATGTTAAAAAATCTAATATTGGAAAAATCGAAAATTTGCAAAATCTAAGATTAAAATGCTGCGAAAATGAAGAATCGTAAAAGTAAAAAAAAAAAAACGAGAAATCACAACATGAAAAAATCGGGAAAGTAAAAAATCGAGAAAGGAAAATATTGAAAAATCCAAAAATCGAAAACTGAAAAATCTAAGAAAAATTGAATCGAAAAATTGAAAGAATGAGAAATCGAAAAATCGGAAATTTTAACAATTGAAAAAACGAAAACCTAAACAATCGAAGAATTGAGAAATTCATACATTGAAAAACTGAAAAATCGATATTTCGAAACGTCAAGAATGGGAAAATTAAAAAATAGAAAAGTCGCAAACTCAAAAAAACGAGAAATCGAAAATTAGCAAAATGTAAAAAATAAAAAATCGAGAAATCGAAACGAAAAACTGAAAAATTTAAAAATCGAAATGTTAAAAAATCCCAAAACTGAAATATGAAAGAATTAGAAGTAAATCGATACATCGAAAAACTGAAAAATCGGAGCAAAATTGAAGAAATGAAAAATTGAAAGAATAAAAAATCGAAAATATCGAGAAATTCAAAAATCGAAAACCTAAAAAATCAAAAAATTGAAAACTCGCGAAACGGAAATACCGGAAAAATAAAATTCCAGAAATTGAAATTTTTAATCAAAACGAGAAATTGCCAATTAATAGTTTCAAATTATTTAAATGGAGCACATGTATTTTCTAGCAGTTTTCAGCTTTCTGCTTGTACCAATTTTTTTGAGGTTTTTTGAAATTAATCTTGGGGTAAACTTCAGAAATCTGGTTTTAAAATAAAGCTTGTGTAGATAAAAATTAGGAGTAAAATTTTGTGAATTACAGCATGTCGCGTTTTTTGAAAAAGATGAACCGACAAATTTAATCAAATTAATTTTATAAATTTTTAGATACAATAATGCAATTTTTTTATAAAAATCCATACCGATTTTTCCTTTGTTCGAAAGATTCTAGGTCTGTTAAAGTAAATCTTATTGCGTTAGCTTTAAAATAATAGTAAAATTTGTTCAATAGTTCATACAATAAATACAATTTTGATTTTTCTACCCGATATCTAGATGTCTAGGGTGAATTTTAAAGATGACTTCATCCAATTGATGGTGGGGACGATGAGCCAAAATGTCAACATCTATATTTGAATATCCAGTTTCATTTTCACAATAACTCCTGGGCGTTTTTCCCGTCGCGCGAGAAAGTATAAAAAAAGTTGTGCAACGCCGTTCTTTGGCAAAAATCCGAGATTTATCGATAATCCTTCGCGATATTTCATCCGGTAAACGCCTGTCACATCACACCGTGATTAAGCGAGCATAGGAAAGTAAATCTTGTAGCTCAGAACTAACATTTATCTGAAAATGGAGTGGGTGTGCCATTGTGATACCCAGCGTTGTGGAAAAACATGTAGCGAATTGACCAACTGACCTAGAGAAGCTGGCAAAAAAGCCCAACCGAAAAAAACACAAAGAGTTACTTTTCAACAGCCTCCAGCACGCGCACCGTCCTTGACAAATACTCTTGCTGGAACGCCCAAACGTGAAAGAATCTCTGCATTATCGCAAGGCGTACTGTCCAAAATCGAGGTTAATTACGGCCGGCATGAGTAAGCACAAGAGTCGAATCTTCGTCAAAACGGCCCCAATTAGAGCGGATTTATGGAGGAAGTCGTAACGTTCGGAAAAGCAGAAAACGGCCGCAATTCGTGTCACCGCCAACCTACGTGACAAAACTGGTTAATTTTGTCGCAATTAGCTAATTCGGAATTCGTTTCGGATATTGCGAAGCTCGAAACTCGAATTAAGCGACTAAAATGCTAATAGATGCGCCTACGCCCACACGCCATTCTGCTAAAACGTCCATGAATCATGTTCCGATGGAACATTAAACAGGCATAAAAAAGAGATTTGTTTAAATAAATATTTGCAATAGAGATTCAGATTACAATAAAAGATGTCGGCTTTTAATCGGCGCGATTAATCAGGGCTACGCCCCTGAAATTCCTAGCGTCGATATACAGGGTGGTCTTGCGGGGACGACTAACTAGGTTAATTTCTGGCTGACTTATAAGTACGGTTGGTACTGAGGCCATCGAAGCAAAGTTCAAGCGAGCAAAAGGTGACAACAGTGGCGTGAAACTGCATTCAATTGTGAAAGGTTTGTGTCATTTTATTAATGTAACAATTTTGTTTAATGTTGGGTAGGATTTATATCGTGTAAGTGGTTCTAGCTTAACGATGCAAATAAATTTGAAGCGTCATCTGGACCATGACTTATAATATTACTCCGAGGCGAGATTTATAGGCTCGTAAGCGGTGTTTGTTACAGATTCGGAGCGATTTTTGCCGAGATTCAACTCGAGAAAACATTAAATTTATTGCAAAAATCCCATTAACCTGGTATTTTTGGTTAACTTTTTTATGGCTTATATGCGCTCTTAATCAAATGTATGTAATACATTATGACAAGAATAATATCCACAGCAACTGCGAGTCGAAAAGTTATCTCTCCATACAAGCTTAAGTATTTAAAATGTAATCAATTTACACTTTTTGAACGAGACATTGGAGAAAGGCCAAAGATTAGAAATTAAAATTGTACCGCTTAAAATTTTAATGTATTAAGTAGATGTTAATTTTCTGCATTTAGTTTGTTTTATTAGTGAATTTATACAAATTAACAGTTAAAAAAAGAAATACCCTGAGAATATTGAATTTTTGTTTATATTTGTAAAAATTCTATAACAACACCGCGCTTATTTTTCATTCCCTTTAACACTTATAATATTTTCAGCACTTTTATTGGATACTTGTTGTCTTTTTTTTTTCTTCTATTTAAATTTCTTCTCTCCACTTTATTTGTTCTCTTCGTTCTTTCTGTTCGCATTATTCTCATTGTTCTGTCCCTCTATGCTCCCTGTTCCCACTATTTTCTCTGTATTATTTGTTCTCATTGGTTTCTCTATTCTCTCGGTTCCCCGTTTTCTATGTTCCTCTTGTTCCTTCCAATCAATCCATTCTCTATGTTCGTAGTGTTCCTTCTATTTTTGCCACTCTCTCTATTCTCTCCGTCCTCTTTGCATTCTCTGTTCTCTCCATTCTTTCTACTCCCTCCGTTCTCCCCGTTTACTCTATTTGCATTTTTCTCATTGTTATCTCTGTGCTTTCCGTTCTCTCTGTTTTCTCCCCGTTATCTCTTTGTATTCTGTTCGTTCTTTTCGCATTGTTCTCTCTATTCTTTCCATTCTATCCGTTCTCTTTGTTCCTTCGTTTTCTCCTTTCTCTTTGATCGCATTATTCTCGTTGTTATTTCTATGCTTTATGTTTTCTGTGTTCGAAGTGTTGTTACTCTTTTCTCTGTTCTCTTTCTTCTAGCTTATTTCTCTATCTCTCTGTTCTCTTTCTCCTCTTGATTTTCGCCGTTATCTCTGTCCTCTCTGTTGTCTTCTATTAGTGTTATTGTCGTTGTTACTTCAGTGCTTTCTGTCCTCTTTGCTCTTTCTCTATTCTCTCCATTATCTTTGTGCTTTCCGTGCCTTCTCTTTCTTTGCACTGTTCTCTCTGTTCTAACCGTTCTGTCCATTCTTTCCGTTCTGTCCATTCTTTCCGTTATCTCTGTGCTCTTTATCCTCTCTGTTCTCTCTGTTCTTTCCGTTATCTCTATGCTTTCTGTCCTTTCTCTTGGTTTTGTTTTCTAAAGTGATCTCTGTTGTCCCCATTCTCTCTGTTTCCTCTGTTTTTCCATTCTCTCCGTTCTCTCTTTTCCCTGTGCTCTGTGTTGTTTCTGCCCTCTCTGCACTCTCTGTTCTCCCCGTTCCCTCCTTTTTGTCTGTTCTCTCTCTTCACATTCTCATTGCTAACTCTGTATTCTATCTGTGTTGTCAGTGCTATCTCTTCTCACTCTTTCCTTTCTCCTTTTTGTTCTCACTGGTTCCTCTGTTTCTTCTGTTCACTTTATACTCCCTGTCTTTGCACTCTGTGTTCTCTCCGTTATCTCTTTGTGTCCTGTTCTTTTCACATTGTTCTTTCTGTTTTTTCCGTCCTACCCGTTCTCTCTGTTCTCTCTGTCCTTTTTATCCTCTCTGTTCTCTTCGTTTTCTATGTTCTCTCTGTCCTCTTTGTTCTCAACGGCTTCTCTATTCTCTCTGTGCTGTCTGTCCTCTTTGCCCCCTGTATTGTTTCCGTTATCGCTGTGCTTTCTGTTGTCTCTATTTGCACTGTTATTTCTATCCTTTTTATTCTATCTGTCCTCTCTCTTATCTATGTCCTTTCTATCCTCCTTATTCTTCATTCTCTCCGTTCTCTTTGTTCGCATTGTTCTCGTTATTATTTCTGTGCTTTATGTAATCACTAATTTTCTGTTTACTCTCTTCTCTTCATTTTCGCCGTTATCTCTGTTCTCTCTGTTGTCTTTGCCTCCTCGGTTCTATCCCTTCTCTCTGTTCCCTTCGTTCTCCGTTTTTCTCTATTCCTTCCGTACTCTCCGTTTTCTCTGTTCGCTTTGTTCTCATTCTTATCTCTGTGATCCTTATTCTCTCCGTTCTCGGTTTTCTCTGTTCTCCCTGTTCCATCCGATGTATCCGTCCTTTGGGTTCATAGATTTTCCTCTGTTTTCTCTGTGCTCTCTGTTCTCGCTCTTTTCTATATTCTCTTTGTTCTCTCTGTTCTCTTCGCAATCTCTGTTCTCTCCATTCTTTTCATTCTATCCATTTCCTCCATTTTCTCTGCTTACATTTTTCTTATTGTTAACTCTGTGCTTTCTGTTCTCTCCGTTTGCTTGTTTTCTCCGTTCTCTGTGTCCTTTGTAATCGCAGGCCTCTCTATTCTCTCCGTTATCTCTGTGCTTTCTGCCCTCTTTCTTCGCATTGTTGTTTAGTTGCTCTCTGTTCCCCACTCTCTGTTAATCCTTTTTTTCCATTCTCTCCGTTTTCTCTTTTCTCTTTATGCTCTCTATCGTTTCTGCACTCTCTGTACTCTCTGTTCTCCATTATTTCTGCCCCCTCCGTTCCCTCATTTCTCTCTGTTCTCTTTCTTCACATTCTCATTGTTAATTCTGAACTCTGTTTGCTGTGTTCTCAGTGTTCTCTCTGTTTTGTCTGTGTTCTCGCTTCTTACTCTTTCCTCTCTTCTTTTTGTTCTCACTGATTTCTCTGTTTATTGTCTCTATTCTCCTTGTCCTCACCGTCATCTCTCTCCTCTTTATCTTCTTTCTATTCCCTCTATTCTGTACGTTTTCCCTATTGGTATTGTCGTCATTATTATTTCTGTGCTTTCTGTACTCTCTGTCCTCTTTGCACTCTCTGTTTTTTCTTATTCTCTCCGTTCTCTGCGTCCCTTTCTGTGCTCTGTTTTCTGTGTTCGAAATGTTGTCATTCTTTTCTCTGTTCTCTCTGTTCTCTTTCTTCTTTTATTATACACTATCGTTTCTGCCGTTATTTCTGTCCTTTCTGCCGTCTTTACCCGTTCTGTTTTCACCTTTCTCTGTGTCCTCTCTATTTCCTCCATTCTTTTCGTCTTCTTTGTTTGATTTATTCTCATTGTTACCTCTGTGCTCTCTGCTCTCTCTGTTCTCATTGTCTTCTCCATTCTCTCTGTCCTTTCCGCTCTCTCCGTCATTCCCGTTCTCTTTGTTTTTCCTGTCCTCTCAGTTTTCTCGGTCCCCTTTGCTCTCTCCGCTGTTTCTGTCCTTGTGTTCTCTCCGTTACTTCTATTAGCATGGTTCTCATTGTTATTTCCGTGCTCTGTGTTCTTTGTCTTCGCAACGTTTTCTGTTTTCTCTCTGCTCCCTCTTCTCGCTCTTTTCCCTGTTCTTTCTGTTCTCTTCCTCCTCGTCGTCATATCTATCCTCTCTCTTCCCTCTGTTCTCTCCGTTGTTTCTGTTCTTTCTGTGCCCTTTGTTCCCTCAGTTTTAAACTTCTATTTTTAATATTTTGATATGTACAGAGTGAGTCATCTAAAAGGGGATACCTCGAATATTTTTTTTTATTTATTAGGCAAAAGTAAGAAATACCAGAATTACCAGAACTTAACTTTTTTTTTCAGATTTTGCAAATTTTTATCTAAATGTAAAAATGAGCTTTATTATTAGCTTCATTATTTAATATTCGTAAATTATTAAAATTTTTCTTAAAAAAAAAACAATTAATTTTCTGACTAAAATTTGATAAAATGTTGGATTAGATTGTTTAGGAAAGCATAACAAATCAAAAAATTTCATTCATCTCAAAAATAAAAGTTTCATTACTTAAGTAAAAACATGTTTAGAAAATAAAGCACAGCAAATACTTTAAGAAAACATCATTTTACAAAGGCAAATAATGCAGAGTATTTTTTTTCAGTCTTATGGAAAAATAAAAATTCAGATTATCAAATTTAAAAAATGCTGATTTTTTAATATTATTATTATTATTATGGTTTCTCTCAAATTTTTCACGCTGTTGAAGTGCATACGTAAAAGTTATTCAAAGTGTTCCTTTTTGGCTAACTCACCCTTTATTTTTAATTATGGGTTATACCGAGCGTTTGGTCTCGTCGTATTACTGTGCGTTTATATTTATGTGGATGACCAAAATAAATTAAAATTAATTAACCAGGAAAACGTCGGTCTCCACACATTGTTTGTTAACTTAGAGACATGTTTCGGAAGACAGTCCTCCAATCTTCAGCCTACGCCTTGTATATTGAAAATTTATGAGATGCGAAGACAGAACGGCGACGTTATTTTCTCCTTGGCGACACGCGTTGGAATTGACGTCTTCTTTGTTGTAAACATTTTTGGAAAGACCGAACTGAAGATTTCCCTCAGCGCGCTGTTTTCGTCACTTTTCTTTATAAACCGCCCATTCCGTCCCATCCGTTGCAACAATTTGCGGCACATGCACCCATCTCCGTTGCATCTTTATTGCACTCCGATGCATCCTTATGCAAATCGAGCTCACCATTTCTCCGCAACATCCTCCATCCATCCAATTTGGAACGGAATTACGAACACGTCTCAGATATGTGGATACCATGTAAAACACGTTCGTGCACAAAGATGTATTGCACTGCTAGATATTAACGCTGTATAATCCTGCCCAGGATATAAATACTCCGACTACGCGATATCTAGATCTAGTAACCTATGACCCGCGTACACCTGTCACTATTTATTACGTAAGAGCACGTTGGCGCAACGCAACGGAATCCCGATAGGTGTCGCTGGGATGATTCGCAGAAATAGAAATCTGGACGCGATTTGAATATAATCGTGGATTAACATATGTGGGTGTCCATTGTGATGGCACAATGGCGGTCTGTCCTACCATGGCCTTTCCCAAAAGCGCCTAACTGTACCTAAACCCGGAAAAAAGAAGTGTCAAATGGGTTTTTGTCGCTCGAGAATTTCTTGATTACGTTCTACATAGCTGCGTGGAAAAAGCCACTTAATAAATAGCAATTAAGTAGATTGAGCGTTTCGCTGCTCGGATTTAATAGAATGTTACAAAGTTGACTTGCGACGTGGACGTTATTGTCGTCTGAGTACTCGCTCGATTTATTTAACGAGAAAAGTGACAATAACAGCACCGTAAAACGTCATTGTTGAAGTCGTATCCCTGGCAAACGGCGCCGTAAATTCTAACCTCAAATCCTCGACATAACCTCTAATTAGAGGCACGATTTACGCAGCCGAAACGTCAGGGTAGTCGCCACGGTTGCCAATAACGGAACTTAATTAGGTTGGTATCACCGCTTAATCGCCTCGTTAAACCTAACTAATGGTAATCGCCTCTCTTACTTCCCTAATTAATCCTAATAGCGGCTGCGCGATCTGGGTGGCATATGTAAATCGGGCTTTAACAAATGTCAAAAAACGCCCCGTGCGACACCGGGCGACAAACCATTAGTCGCCCGAAAAGTACACAGTAGTGGCCCGTTGCAGCGGCCTGCGGCGCGCCGCCCGGCGTCCCTCAAGGCTCCGTCCAGTTCACTGAACCTCAATTAAGCCGGCGTTTGTCACTAGTTCCTGCAAGAAAATCGCTTAATATGTCAGTCACTCGCGGCCGCCATTTAATTGCAGATGACAGCTGCATATCTCGGATCTGAGACTTTGATGTTAATGTATGCAAGATAGCATGTCCGTATTTATGGGTTCGGTGCGCAGCGAGCGATTTGTATGCGAAGAAGGCGAAGGTTTTTTCAGAAGTTTGTCTCCAATTTCGAGGAGGGTGGTGGTAGTACCGAATATGTCGACGGTGTTGTTGGTTAATTGGTGGAGTTATAATGGGCGATAATTATAGCTGCTGTGTGTGGAGAGGATTTGTCGGGTCGATTATGGTTAATTAATTTAAGTGTGAGGAATTAGGTATGCAAATTTGGAGGTTGTGAGGTGCGATATAAGGTGGTTCGGTGTTGCGCAAGGGTTCTGAAATTTAAAACTTTTGACTGAATCTTGAAACCTTGAGGTCTAAACTTAAAAGAAATTAAGACCTTAGAACTTAGTGTCTTGAACAAAGAAGACAAAGTGTAGGTAGAAGAAAATATATTAATGATAATAATTAGCCCATTCAGGTTTCCATGTTTTCGAAACAACTAACACCAAACCAACTAAAAAACACCTATTCATAAAAAACCCGAATCATCTATGTGACTAATCTCAGGACCCATCCACGCCCATCGAAAGCGTTTTCTCCTGTCGTCGATTTTTTGCCTCGTCCATCCTAAAACAGCAAAGATCCATCAAACCGGCAGCCGGTAGAAACGAGATGACAGCTAGTACCGAGTGATAGTACCATAAACTAGATCAGATCGAGATTTAGCGGCGACGAACTTAGCCATCGATGTCCAGTTTCTCTTTCTGATCAGGATGCGTACGAAAGTGGATCACGCATGCCGTAAGCATGTGATTGTGGTGTTTTAGTCCGGTCTTATTAATGTAACGAGCCATAAAAGTCGGCGGTAGCGTGGCGGTAAATCCGTTCGGTAAACAGCACATTTACGACTTTGATTGGCACCCGTGAGCGCGATTGATGGATGGACGGACGGAGCGAAGAGCGAGGCTGCGGAGGCGATGGCCCGGAGATTAACGAATTTGGAGGAAAGAAGGCAAGTTCGAGCAACTTGTTCTTTGTTCAGCACTATTCTGTGGAAGAGTTAGACAGAGTTTCAATAAATGCGTCTCCCAGGATTTTTCTTCGTTGACTTTGGGTTTCCGTCTGATCTCGATATCGCTTGAAAAAAAATACATATATTTCGAATTAACAAATTTGAGTCCAAGGATCCTCCTCAAAAAATATTAAAACGCTCTTGCAAAGAAGTGAAAATTTTGAAAATTTTTTTCAAATTTTGAAACAAGTGAATAATGTTATAAAAAATACGATCATTGAAAAAAAAAGTGAAAACAGTTCAAAATTATTAAAACAATTTTCAGAAAAAATTTGAAACACGGAAAATAAAGTCGGGATTTCAGAAAAAATTTAATTTTAGGGTGTTAAAAAATATTTTACAAAATAAATAAATAAAATAAAATTTTGAAGTGAAATTTCGAGAAAATATAATCCTAAAAATGAAAAGAAGCAATAAACCAAAATGAAAACTTTTGACTGGATCTTAAAATCTTGAAGTCTAAACTTTTGAAAAAGAGCCAAAATTTTGAAAAATAAATTCTATATAGTAATCTTATGAAAAATATGATCATCAAAAATAGAAATTTTTGAAAAAAAACTGAACTTCCAACGACAGATTCTAAGTGATGAAAGGCTAAAAACTGAAAAAAGATCTTCAGAAAAAATGTGAAACACGAAAAATAAAGACTAGATTTAAAAAAATCTAAATTTTAGGTTGTTAAAAGAGAAATATTTCAAAAAATGAAAAAGAAATTGAAGTTAAACTCCAGAAAAAATGTTAAAATGCTAGAAAAATAATGGGGAGATGTTGAACAATAAATCAAAACGAAAATATTTTATTCATTCTTAAAATTTTGAAGTCTAAACTTAAATTAATTTAATGAGATCTTAGAATTTGATGACTTGAACTGTAAACATATCTAAAGGCTCTTGAAAAGAAGTAAAGATTTTCAGAATTGAATTCAAAATTTTGAAAAAAGCATCCAATGTTTTGAAAAATATGGTCATTTAAAAAGCAAATTCTAGAAAAAGATCCGAACTGTTAGGGGCAGACTCGAAGTAATGAAAAGTTCAAAATAAATAAAGAAATCTTCAGAAACAAATTGGAACACGAGAAATGAAGACACGATTTAAGAAAAAACCTCAAAATTTTAGGTTGCTAAAAGCCAAGTATTTCAAAAAATTAAATAAAATAAACTTTTGAAGTGAAATTTCGAAAAAAAAATATTAAAATGCTAGAAAAACAAAATAGAAGATGTTGAACAATAAATCAAGAAGAACATTTTAGCTTTTTAAAAGACAAATATTTCAAAAAATAAAATAAAATAAAGTTTTGAAGTAAAATTTGCAGAAAAAAGGTTCAATTGCTAAAAAAATTATGGGAATCAGAAGAAAACTTTTGAATGGTTCTTAAAATTTTGAAGTCTAAACTTGAAGAAATTTGACTAAACCGACTTAAACAAAAATATCTAAAGGGTGTTGAAAAGAATTAAATATTTTGAGAATTACATTCAAATTTTGAAAAAAAAACTATAAGCTTATGAAAAATATGATCATTTAAAAATCAAATTCTAGAAAAAAATCAAAAATGTTGGGGGCAGACTCGAAGTGATGAAGAGTTCAAAATTAATAAACAAATCTTCAGAAAAAAATTGAAACACGAAAAATAACGACGCGAATTTGAAAAAAAAAGTGTAATTTCGAGAAAAGAATATTAAAAAAGAGAAGATGTTG